GATGTGTCCGTTTCCAATCATGGTCAGCGGGAAAAGACTGAGAAGCTCAGCCTGACAGAAGATAACGATTTGCTACTACAAACCGTGGAGTTCCCTCAAGGCACCAAGTCGCTGTCGTACGAGGCGAAGGGAACTGGCGCTGCTCTGCTACAAATCAGCTACCAGTACAATATTGTCGAGAAGGAGCCGAAACCTAGCTTCAAGATTCAAGCTGTTATTAAACCGGAWTCGCCCCCAGCCAAGTTAGAGCTCAGCGTGTGCGTTGAATATGTAGAGGAAGGCAAGGCTAAAGCATCCAACATGGCCATACTGGAAGTCTCACTACCCTCTGGCTATACCGTAGATGAGGACAGTTTCAAGGACATACAGGACATCGAACGCGTCAGGGTAAGTCTTCAATAGTCATCATCTATCCGGTGTATCGATTTTATTATTTTTTTGTCTTTACGCAGCTGGTAGAAACCAAGAATGAAGACTCTGTGGTGGTCATTTACTTTGAGAGTCTGCCCAAGGGAGAAATCAAGTGCCTACCGATAGAAGCGTTCAAGACTCATGCTGTCGCCAATCAGAAGCCCGTCCCGATTGTCCTCTATGATTATTACGATACGAACAAGAAGGCAACTGAATATTACCAAGTGGAATCGAAGCTTTGCGACATTTGTGAAGGAGATGAATGTTCGGCCAAATGTTAAACACCAACTTATCGAATAATATATTTATATGATTTTAACTACTTTAATTATATGTTATTCGATAACACTTTTAATTGATTTGCATAAATATATAAATGAATGATTATATATATCGCTGTAGCTTATTACTTCTTATTATATCATAACTATATTACTTACTTAATATCGGGGCTTTTTTACTTTACAACTTTTGTTATATTTTGACCGATAATGGTCTTACACCCCTATATTGTAACATATACATATATAAGAGCATTAGATGCAATCAGCAATTTACTCGATGAGTTTTGAGTTTCTAGATCTAATACTGTAGAAAATTCCGTTTTAACCGATTTGCTTCGCCCCTAATGAGCGTAGTTATATATTCGCCATAGCTTTCCATCTTGTTGTCAATGAGAATCTACATTCTAGTTCTTAAACTAATAAGATTTCTGGTATATCGGTAAATACGTTTTCCGATTTGCAACGCCTTTAGTGGGCAGATAGAAAAAATTTTAAAACTTTATAATTTGAGGGCATATAGGACTGTATGTTCCAAATTTCAAGTCGATTTGGCTAGTCGCCCTTATGAAGAATATACATCCAAATGTTTGTATGTATGTATATACTTTCTGCCTGTTATATACATACATATTAACAAAAACATTATACCTTGATTTTCCATTTTAAATGAGTTCAGGGTATGAGAATTGCTAAATGTTTCATGTAGACTACTTGTTATCTATATCAAAGATATGTTATGGATTATTTATATATACATACAGTACATATATAACAATCAATCAAGAAATGTTTAATTTTTCGTTTAATAGGTTGAGTGTTAGGCCCTCTCTTTCACTCGAAAGGGGGAATACCATTTGCCACAGACCGAACGAAATATTGTTTACTGTATCAATGTGAAATACACAGCGTAGTTCAGAAGATGACGTCATTGAAGAGAATATTTCCCATAGTAATAAAAACAAACACACAGCCACAAACGGAGAGAGAAGGTCAAAACAAAGAGCAACTGAGAGAATTTCTCAGATACCAGCTGACATTTGTGCCATCCGCCGGTTTGGTTGGCACTCCCGATCGAAGCGGCCATTAGTGCGTCGAGTGTTTCATAAACAAAAGCAAGTTTATTTCGAGAACGAAGAAATAAAGATAAAGACCCAACAAGTCAACAGCAAAACATTTTGTAAACCGTAAACAAATCGCTCAACATTTGTTCACCAAACAGCGACAAATTTTGTGGTTCACGGGAAAAATCAGTTCTGGGAATTCCACAGCGACAAAAGTACGTCAATAATTTTAATTTGTGCTGAGTTTTTGTGAATATTTTACATACATACAGGCATATAAATGTCATTCCTATGTACGTGTCTAGATATGTATGTGCCTACCTATTAAAACAGGAAAAACCTAGTGAATCTATTGTGCACGCGATAAAAACTGAATCTTTAATGAACGCTAAATATATAACAATTAAAGTGCTAATTACAAAAGTGAAATTAAATTTATTTTGCAGAGTTTTTTATACATTGAATTTCAAAATTTAATTAACCATTTGCATGTTATGGCATGATAAATACATTATATGACTATTATTTTCGACTAGTATACTCTCATACATACATACGTAAATCCATTATATTGTAGAAACACTTATCTGCATTCAAATGGAGATTATATATAATTGACTCAACTTACACATTTATCAATAAATTTGTGTGAGGTTCGTTGTGAAATGTTTTGTGTGAAATCATTTGTAGAATCTATTCCTGAATTTGAGTTTACATATAGAAAACTTGACCTGACTAATCGTCTAGTTGTTATTCGCTTACAATTACAAATTACTCGTATGTGTGACTCACATAAAAAATAAAGATTATATTATATTGTACTTAAAGGCTTAAGTGCTCATCCATGCGAGATTATCAGCAATTTAATTTTCGAAATATTTCATTAATATATATAATATGCACGTACATACATATGTAAATATTAATTTATATGTACGTATATTTTGTTAATGAATTTTATACATATACATATGTATATGTAGTTTTGAAATTTAGAAAAAAAAAAAATTTAACTATCAGCTTATATTTTATTACATTATGTTGTTTATGATTATTGTGCTGTTTCTGTCGCGGTCAGCGTCGACATCTCTAGCTTGGCCGCGGTCCCGAAGCCCCGTACACACATTTCTACTTATGAACATACATGTACATACAAACAAGCATACAACAAAGCTATAACAAATCTCGCATGTCACCGGCTCAACCAGTCGCAGCTCAGCTCTGAGCCCGGTCGGTTGTCGCAACGCTTGGCAAACCACATTGAGAATTTTATTTTTTGAATTCCCAATTGACTCTTACCACAGTCTATAGACATACATTTAATTACAAGTTATTGTTGTTTCGTTCATTTCCATTTGAAACCAACAAAATGCGTCGTTCAGGCGCTTTTGCTGTCATCGCTTGTGCGGCTCTGGCCCTACTAAATATGGCAGATCCGGTAAAATGTGATGGGTAAGTCCAACTCCTGTCTATCTTTGTACTAAATTCGAATATATACATATTTTTGGTGTTGGCTGGTTTGCCAAGGGCAAAATCATCATATGTTTATACTAAACCCAATTTTGAAAATTCATGTGATGTTTTTTATGTGCAATTTAATTAATTCCATTAATATAGTTGGTCATTGGATCAGTGAAATTGACAATATGCGTAGATGATGTTATTTTAGAAACCAGTTTAGACACAATATATTAAATATTTAATGTATGTACAATATGTATACTTGAAATAATAATGTTTATTTCTATAGAATTATTTAACAGTTTGTATAGTTTTTAGCACTTCGTGACTAAGACCATATATAGTATATGTATATTTGCTCAGATCATTAGCAGTTGCATTTTAAAAGTTCCTTTTTTTATGATAGAACAGTCGTAAAGAAAAAAACCCATTACCAAATAAACAAATCACGTTTATTGTTTTTTAAATACATTTGCATGTCAAAATTATGCCTCCACAAAAACCAGTTTATTATTTGTTTATACTAATATTTTATTATCTTCAAAGTCAATGTCACACATACATACAATGAATTTCTATATAGTGTTTATTAGAGAAACCTCAATTTCGCAATATACTTAAAAATCAGACTTGGCCACTTAGTTCAGTTTCTTGAACTCTGTTTTATCCATCCGCGTTTAATTATATACATATATTATATATTACATCACCGACTCTCGGAGCAGGTTTCTACAGATCAGGTTCTGAGAATATTTACCGTTAGGCATGTGCCAAAAGTGTTTTACTTTTTCTTGGAAACGAGACAATGTAAAACAAAATACGTTTAATGTCAATTGATAGTGTAATCAGTTGGAATGTAAATTAGGCTACACGAATAAACTCATGCAATTATTGAATAAATCTAAGCTTATAGGTTTTCTAGTATTATAACATTATGAAATCGTTGTCAAGCTACACTGATTATAATTAAGTGCCTCTTTCGTTGCTCACCGCAGACTATATACAATCGTTGGACCGGGAACCATACACTCTCATCGAGATTACAATGTGGCTGTCGCCGTGCATCACACCAAGGAGCCAGTTACCTTGAAGATTGGTATTACGGGACCCTCGTACAATGAAACGCAAACGGTCGAGTTGCCTAATGCCGATGAGTTCAAGCAGATTACCTTCACGTTGCCTCCTCTTAAGTCGGGTGACTATAACTTAACCGCAGAGGGTGTCTCTGGACTTGAGTTCAAGAACTCCACGCAGCTTAGTTTGGCAGAATTTAAGCCCTATGTCAAGCTACAAACCGATAAGGGCAAATACAAGCCCGGCGACACCGTCAACTACCGCGTAATCTTCCTAGATGAGAACCTTAAACCGAGTTTGGCCGAGGACGACGTAGTTGTGTGGTTCGAGGATCCCAAACGCAATCGCATTAAGGAACTYAAGCACATCGAGACCCGTGGAGGAGTCTACACCGGAAAGTTCGAGTTGTCGGAGTTTGCCCTCTTGGGCTCATGGACACTTTCGGTGCAGAATGGCGATTCATATTCGGATGAGCGGGTCTACTTTGAAGTTGAGAAGTACGTGCTCCCCAAATACACCATCTCAATGGACGCGACTCAGCATGTGTCGGTGAAGGATGGTGACATGCAGGTTGTTGTAAAAGCAAAGTAAGTAACCTTGGCACATGTTTTTCCTAGACCGAAATAGAACATTAATCGTTCTCTCAGTTACACCTATGGCAAACCAGTAAATGGCAAAGTACTTCTCAATGTACACACAGACGAATCAAGCACCTGGTCCACCGTAAATGGCGAGTCTGTCCGCACAGACACGCCGGGGCACGCTCTCATCCGAACTGCTGACATGGTCAACGGCAAGGCGAAATTTGATATTAACGTTAAGGAATTTGCTAGTTTTTTGCCATACAAAACATCGTCGTCGTATGCACAAATTTTGGCCACTGTTGTGGAGGACTTCACAGGTGTACAACTCAACGAAACGGGCGGCGTACAGCTTTACCCGTATCGCTACGAAATGACCTGCGTGGATTACACTTCCTGTTATTCATTTGTAGCCGATAAAGAGCACGAGATCATTTTTAAAATCACTCTTGTTGATGGTACCCTACTTAAAGATACAAAGACCCCTGTCAAGGTAAGTTATTAAARGATGGGAAATGATTGGCTAAACAAAATATTAACATTACAATCGAATCGCTCATYTTTAGGCAAAGTTCACCGARGGCATTCGCCACTCCAGATATGGCGATGAATCCAAAYTACCGTCGATTGAGAATAAAACGCTTGAGTTTGAGAGCCATCTTAACGAGTCCAGCTTAGCTGTATTTAAAGTCACATTACCAGATTTACCAGACATGGAAAACTATACGCGTTACTATAGCATCGAGCTACAGTTTGATGAGGAGGAACGAGATCTGTATACAACCTATCCCTACAGGGAACCAAAGAAAATTGAACCTCTACCTCATGAAGAAGAAAAGGAGAAGGAATGGTTTAAGGTCGATGTGCAGAGACCTAAGGACAAATGGAGGTTCGATTGTTAGATATATTTGACAACGCTTCCCTTTAACCACTTACTTCAATTTCAGCCTCAAAATCGGAGAGGAGTATCAAGTCACTTTGAACTCCAGTCGTCCCCTCAACTACTTCGTATACAACATCATCGGACGTGGAAATGTTCTACAAACGGAAAGAGTCGTACTGAGTGAGCCTCAGAAGGTCTATAACATCAGCCTGACCCCAACGTTCCTTATGTCACCTTACGGCCGCATTTATGTCTACTATGTGGATGAGACTGGCGAATTTCGCTATGCCGAGGATTCTTTCCACGCAGATGTGGAGCTACAAAACCAAATTGAAGTGACTGCTCCAGATGAGGTCAAACCTGGCGCAGATGTTGAGCTAGAGATTAAGACAGCGCCCCAATCATTCGTTGGCTTAATGGCTGTTGATCAGAGTGTCTTGCTACTGGGTAGTAATAACGATATTAATAAGGATTCATTTGGCTGGCGCTTAGGACGGTATGATACCCATACACCGTGGCAAGGAGGTTACTCGTACTATCCCGGTGAACGTAGTGGAGTTGTAACCATGACAAATGCCAACTTCTTTTATAATCGCACGGCTCCCGATTATCACATACGTAAGCTGAAAAAAAGTAAGAAGTGTGAATGAAGTTATAAAACTCATGAATGCTTCGCTTTATTCTGCTTTAATAACCGTCTTATAATATTCATAATAATCGAATTTTATAATTTGCAGAAAACTTTGTGGGTGGAGCTATGCGAAAGACCGCACTTGTTTCGAATGACATGGCATTCAGCACTGCTGTTCCAATGAGTGCAGCAGCAGAAGGTGCCTTAGTTGGGAACGCAGGAGGGTTCGCTGCGGCGGCACCTGGCTCAGCACCAGTAGTACGGAAAAACTTTGTGGAAACCTGGCTGTTCGAAGACATTGAAAATACTAAGGCAGAGATTTTTAAGTGGGTTCGAAAAATTCCCGATACGATTACAAGCTGGGTGCTGACGGCGTTCTCATTGCATCCCGAAAAGGGCTTGGGCGTGACCAACGACCAGCTGAAAATTAAGACTTTCCAGCCATTCTTTGTGTCCGTGCGTTTACCATACTCAGTGAAGCGTGGCGAGGTTATCAATGTGCCCGCTCTGGTGTTCAACTACCTGCCCAAGCAGTTGGACGTGGAGGTGACTCTGAGCAACGAGGATAACGAGTACGACTTTGTGGATGTTTCCAACGAGGTTCTCGGCGAACAGAAGCGCACACAGACGGTGCGCGTGGGCGCCAATTCCGCAGCCGGCGCATC